CTCCTTGTCTCGAATATATCGATTATAATAATAGTGGCCAGTAAAGGTAGAAAAGGGAGTCCATGAATCGCATTATGGAACTCGCACTGCAACGATTGTGCCTTCGAGCACCGACAGCAGTCACACAGCGGACAAGATTACCGAGAATACTGGACTCGCCATTTCGGACTTATGCTTTGTCATTAGTGAGCCAGCCCGCGGATGCAAATGCATTGATTTTGCAATCATGCTTACCACTAGGCCTTTGCTATATATTCCTTTTCGGTGCGCATGTTCTCTTGGCTTCATCTGAAACATGTCCCCCCCCCTCCCTACCCTCCCGCAATTTAGTGGCTTTTGCCATCCTGGACCGCAACGCCTTCCACATGACCCAAACTATGCAGGACGCCTTCATGAAGTCGGAGGTGGAGGGAAAGGAATTGAGCCTTTCCACTGCAAATTCAATTGACGACTTCTGGAAGGTAAGTCTCCCCGGAGCACACATATTTCACCACTCCCCTGTGCAGTCTTCTCTTATTACTTTTTCTTTGCTGCTTGTTCACTCAGCGTCCAGTAAATAAAACTACTTGGGAATAGCTAAGCTCCTCTCGTCCAACAGATTAACCACCGTTTTTTAAAGAAGTCATTGAAGAAATTTAAACAAGGCAAAGTCAACAAATTCGCAGAATTTAATCATATCCTTAAACTTTGTGACCTCTTATTCAAATACATGCGATCATTATCTCTTTTAGTAAAATAAAGTAAACTGTCTAATTATGTATTGACCTGGACTGCTGAAACTTGATAGGTAGACAATGCATGGGCTGACTGCCGGACTTCCAACATCTGCTTAACTGCATCTTCTCCGACATTCAATTCACAAGGAGAGAAAAGAGTTCAGAAGAAAGAGAAGCGTTAACCGGGAGAGCTTTATTATAAGCCTGACGTTTCGGGTAGTTGTCTCTTCTACCCATCTTCAGAAAATGGATACTCTGGCTCAACGTCCTCGTCTTAATGCCGTCCTTTCTTGCGTGTGCCTATTCTACCAATCATGTTTGAGCCACTATGTGTGTCTCTGGCTGCGTCCTCAGTCTCCTCGTCACTTGGTCTCCTGCCTG